TGATAAAAAAGATGTAGATCTCAAAGAGATGAAGATCGTATTCTCTGCTTTGAAGCCAGAAGAAGATTATTGATTAACATTTCTACATACAATACCTCATGCATTACGTTCAGGTGCATATCAATTGCATTCACATTTCATGCATCGATGCATAATTTTTCACAGATCTTTAAGAGAATAAGAATAAGAATAAGAAGAAATCAAAATTCAAGCCTCAAACGGAGGAAATTATGTTTAGAGTGATTGAGCCTCAGGAATCGAGGAGCTCAATCAAGAAGAATCATTACTTTGAAATGGGGCATGTTGCCCGATATATGATGTTTTTATATGAAAAAAATGAGAAAACGATTTTCAAAGTTTCTCATTAAATCATTTCTGAAAATGAAATTTTTGAAAAATAAGAAATTGATTTCCAAATTTTCTTACTAAGTCCTCCAGGCCATTAATAAGTCTTTTAAATATGCTAATTAAATCCTCCGAGTCATCTGTAAAGTCTTCCGAGCGAGATGATAAGTCCTTCGAGCCATCTATAAGACCTCCGGGCATGATGTTTTAATATGATGTTTCCAAAGTTTCTTATTTTATATTTTCTCAAAATGAATCTTTGAAAAGTAAGAGAGCGATTTCCAAAGTTTCTTACTTAGTAAGTCCTCCGGGCCAGCAGGTGTTCGAGAAGTTCCCGAGCGTGCTTCCCACACATTGGCTCTCCAGATTCATGTGACCCAGGGTCGCTACCACGCGCTGCAGTGGTCCCAAACTCCCAGTCGCCTCTCCAGCAAGCTTCTTCCCTCTCTCACATACGAATGTCCAGCTCGTGGTCCCCTTTTTCTTGTGGCCCTCTGCCAAACGGTTATGGCAGAGTGGCAGAAGGCATACCGACTCTTCTCAGCGGATCACATGCAAAAATAAGGAATAGAAAAGAGAGGGAAATCAGATTTTACATGTCGTTTGAGTCTTATTCATCGGAGTAGAGAGAACGCGTCACCGAAGTCGAGGCAACCTAAGAGTCGGGCTTATTTTAGAGGCGTTTGGTTCTGTTTCGGGGCTTGGTTTTAAGGGTTTAGATTAGGGAGATGAAGCTAGGTTTCATTTAGGTCCAGTTGGTTAGGTTATGTTTAAGTCAGACCACAGTTGGTGGTAGTCAGAGTTGAGGTTGAATGGTCGATTATAGCGACGTTATGTTTTAGGGGGTTTGGTCGAAGAAAAATAAAAGGGTTAGAAGTAATCAAGTGTTTAGTTTTGTTTGAGTTAGGGTTTAGCCTTCTCGGTCGTTTTAAACGGTGGTCGGAGCGGCGGATGGTAGGGTTATTGGGTTTTTTGAGGAGGCTGTCTTGTTTGGGACAAGAGAGATAAGAAGGGGAAAGATTTTGAGTCGAGAGAGATGAGTTGAGAGAGGAGGTGGCTGAAAGGGATTAATGTGAGTTTAGGTTAAGGTTAAACCTATAATTAGGTTTTTACATATAACGATTAGGGTTAATTGCTTTAAGGTCCTTGAACTTCAACCGCTTATTTACATTTTGATCCCTACATGACACATGCCATGTTTAAAAAATGGAAACTCTCATAGGTCCCCTAAAAGTTGGCGCGTTTTTATATTTTGGTCACCTGTAATATCTGTTTTGATTTTTTTTCAATTTCTTCGGCCTGATTTTGTAATGAACCCAATTTTGCATGTTAGAGTATTTTAGGTTTAATAATTTGGAATAATTTTGATTTATTCCCTCTAGTTTAGCACGTTTTCTGCACATAGGTCACTGTCATAATTCCAATCTTGCTTGTTTAATTTACATTTATTTTAATTTAGTCACTATTCTAGAATTTGTTTGATTTTTTTAAAATTAGTCCCCAAACTATTCTTTTTTTTTAATTTAATTCTTAGATTAATTAGCCTTAATTAAGTTCGTATAGTTTAATCTTTTTACTTTTTTAAATACATTTTTGTATATTCTCCTTAAATTTTTAAAAATTGTTAGATTTTAGGGTTAATCTTTTAGTTTAGGTTCTTTTAATTTAGTTCATAATTAGAGCCTTAGATTTTAGATTTTAGATTTAGAATTCTCACATTTAGTCTTTAAATTTAGGGAATAATTCAATTTGGCTCTTGCATTAAGATGCCCAAGGGTTCATTTTGATTATTCGATTCCATAATTGGTAAAATTAATTAGGGTTAATAGTTAGAGCCTTAACTTTAGATTCTAACCATTTAGTCTTTGAACGCTTAATTAGATATTCATTTGACATAATTAATTAGGTTATTAATTAAAGCCTCCACTTTAGGTTTAGTTTCACTTTAGTCCTTTAATTTATGGAATAATTCGATTTGCCTTTCACATTAAGATGCTCGATGGTTCAAATCGATTATTCGATTCAATAATAGATTAAAATCAATTATGATTAATATTAGAGCCTCCACTATCAAGTTTAGCCCTCTATGTTCTTTAACTTTCATAATTTGACACTTTTAAGTTATGAGAGCCTTAATTAACCCGCCTAGCACTTTAAAAAGTTGTTTGATTGCATTTGGTTCAAAGTACAAGGCAATGTTGATTTACCAAGGAGTTAAAAGTGTATCCTCCACATTATGCTCAAGGGGTGACCACTGGTAATTCCCGAAGTAGGTGGACATCCTTTCCAAAACCCCATGTCATGATTTCTTAAAACTCCGAGGCAATGTTCGTTTATTGGGTTCTTGAGGGTGAATGTTATTGGTCTCAATAAACGGGTATCATATTCAAATTTGCATCCATAATGATCTTTAAATTAAATAAAACCTCAAACTCAAAATTTTCGATTTCAAATATAGGTTAATCAACTAGGTACCAATTTTGGGCGCTGTAGGAGTGCTAACTCTTCCCCACGCATAACTAAATCTCGAATCTGATTTCTGGTTTTCGCAGACTAAACTGGTATTTTTGATAAAAAAAAATAAAATGTATATTAAAATTACTTGATTTTAGGTGTTTCAATCGCGCCTTAAAATGATTGGTGATATAACAAATTTGACAATATTCACGTCCTAACGAGCCATTTGTCTTCCCTTTCGTAATTAGGTTATTTCATTTCTTATACGCATAAATAAATCATTATCTGAATGATCATTTTTTTATTATAGTTAATGTAAATATTTTTTCATGTTATATATATGATCAACAAATTTAAGTTACCCAATTAGTAGCATTAGAGGGGTTTATTGGACGTTTGTCATGTAATCGTATCTCTTATCTGTTACGCAATTATTGAATGACATTATGTGCTTTGTCAATCTAGTTTCACAATTAATTTATAGACCAATTATTGATAGAAATTACACGAGGTTGATAAGAGGATGAAAGGTAAATGATGATTGAGGAAACACAAGGAATGGTCAGTGATATAAAAAAGACACGATATAATCATATTCTCGTTCGGTGTTTTATTTTGAGCCCTGGTATGATGATTTTGAATGCTTGCAAGAAATGATTCAATGAGCATCATCATACCCTGAATAATAAAGGGAGCAAAACCTTCTTACTCATCCTCGGAATCACAATTAGAACAACATAACATACATAACAAGACCAACACCCATTTTTTAATCATTTTTAGCGCTTATTAATATTGTTATTTTTTCGTTTTATAAAATCATATTTTTTTAGTTATGATAAATAATTTATGGGTAATCTATGTCAAATATCACTCATCTTTATGCTCGGGATCGAAAATGTCACTGGCCTTTCAATTTTGCCAATTTTAGCACGGACGTTTATGTTTCACTTTAATTAAGCCACCCCGTCGTTAATCCGTTAACGGCACGATAACATGGCATAGACGGGCCGTGACAGTGATGATGTGGATGCCTTACCAAAACGACGTCGTTTCAACACAACTATTTTGATGCTCAATAAAGATAAAACGACGTCGTTTTGCTTGAAAAAATTATTGAAATATTATGCAACTAGAGGGATTTGAACCCCAAACCCCTTAAATTAAACTAAATACTTAACCATTGAACTACATTATATTTTTCTATTATGTTTTCTATAAAAGTTTTAAAATACCCGCCGTTCTTGGCTCACTCCCTCACCTTAAAGAACTCTACCTTGACAACAACCATCTCCATGGACCAATTCCTTCAAGCTTTAACAGCCCAACGAAATTTCCGGTGAGTTTCCTGATATGGGTTCACTCAGAAAGCTTTACTTTCTCGACGCAAGCGATAACAACGTATCCAACCAAGTCCCATCAATGTTTCCAGTATCTCTCGTCGAGCTCTCGATGAGAAAAAATATCCTAGACAACATCGACAATATTAGGTTCTTACAAGTTCTAGATCTCAGTCACAACATCTTATACGGTGCAATATCATCATTTTTTCAAGCATCGTTAAAATATGGCAGTGAATTTCTGTGGAGATATGTCGGAGGAAGAGTATTACACGTCGCAGGGCGTTCGCAACACCAAGTCTTACTTCAAGACGCCCAACGACAAACTCTTCACTCAGAGCTTCATCCCTTTGGATAAAAAAAAGTGAAGGCCTCCGTCTACATGACCCACGGCTACGACAAAAGGAACATTCCATGGAACAGGAGCAAAACTGTAGGCAAAAGTTGTCGAAATTCATTGGCATTACGGCACAAGGTCTCATGCTGCTGAACTACCAGCTGGGTATTATAATACCAGATACCATGATGGTTACCTTCCAATAGCAAAATTTTTTAATAAACATGGAGTTGTTTTCAACTTCACTTGCATGGAAATGAGAGATGGGGAACAACCTGGATACACAAACTGTTCGCCTGAGGGATTAGTCCGGCAAGTACAGATGGCAACGAAGACGGTTGGTGTCGAACTCGCCGGACAAAATGCACTGGAGAGGTATGACGCTGGTGGATATGCACAGGTTTTGGCGACCAGTAGATCGGATTCTGGCAATGGTTTGAGTGCATTTACGTATTTGAGAATGAACAGAAGGCTTGTTTGAAGGGGACAACTGGAGGCATTTGGTGGAATTTGTGAAGAACATGCCCGAAGGAGGTAGAAAGATTTCTAGAAGATTTTCAGTGCCTCCCAACACGGTAAAGAAAAAACGACGATGTAGAAAAAGAAAAACGACGTCGAAAAATCGGATGAGCACCTCGTCAGCCGAGAGCAGATTCTTTACCAGCGAAAGCTTTGAAGACTATGGTATTAACGACAGAGAAACGGAAACCCTTGTTTCATCTTCGAGGAGCTTCTCCACTGATTCTCCCTCAGAGATGTTCAACAACAACTTAAAAATTATACTGGAAACAAAGCCTACATGGCAAAGCAAGAAGAAACCAAAGAAAATTAAGAAGACAAGAAGATACGCTATAAGATTTTCGTCATCGAAGAGCAAATCGCCAATGAGGTTGTCGAGCTTCTTGCAACGGATGATACCATTCACGGTGGATGACAGAGCAAGGGAGAGTTTTGTGGTGGTGAAGAAATGGGAGTTTTGTGATGTCAAATCTCCAACTTTTCTCAGGTAATACAGATGCTATGTAGACTAAATAACTTTAAAAAAATCGTTCATGTCATCGTTGTTACGGTATTGGCACACTAAGTCATCATGCCGTTAACGGATTAACGACGAGTGTCTTAATTAAAGTGAAACATAATCATCTATATTAAAATTGCCAAAATTAAAACGTCAATGACATTTTTGATCCCGAGTATAAAAATGAATGATATTTAACATAAATTACCCATAATTTATTAATATTATCAATATTATAATATTTTGGGTTTTTTTTTCAATATTTTAGTTCTTAAAATATTTGAAGAGGCTTTTTGTAACAAAAAGTATCTTTTCAAAGGCCCTTCTACACTTCTATGTATACTCAATCAGAAACCAACGTGAGATTTAAAGATCATAAATTTTTTAATGATTCAACCTTAAATATTCGAAGTTGATCGACGAATAATTATCTGCAGTAAATTTAGTTTCCAAAAACACAACTTTTTCAAGTTCAGAATATTAACAGTGTCATATCAACAATAACCGACTTTAATACCTGAATCTGATGAGCTGAATTAAATATAAAAAAGCGAGAAAAATATTCCCATATAAGCAAATTCTACCATAATGTATAGAGAACTACAAATACAACAATTAATCCAATTCTTAAAATTTGAAAATTGAAAATTTCCGTTAATAATTTTTTATACAGACGATGGTTATATATGCGTCCTACAGAATACAAGTACAAACGAGATTATAATTGAACACCACGAATACCTGCACGTAGCCGCCCACCTAAGTTAACCTCCAATTAAAATTGATCCGCGAAGAGAAAAGAAAACGAATTACCTACGAAGCATTAACAAAACAAAAAACATAACTGGTTCTAACTGGCAAATAATAGGATATAATGTTCAAAGACACATAAGTGTGGCTGAGCATATCATGTTCATCCAAAACACATTCAAACAAAATATACCAGTTGTCGATTACAAGACAACATCGTCGACAAATCACAAACTACCACCAGCCTATCATTTAATTTTGACCTACACAGAATTGAAAACACAAACAAGCTATAAAATAGAACAATACATGCCTAAAACCAAGCTATAGTTCAAGTAAATTAAGCACGCTCGCCCCTAATCCTGCGAGCCAACTGGATATCCTTGGGCATGATTGTAACACGTTTGGCGTGGATAGCACACAAGTTGGTGTCCTCGAAAAGACCCACCAGGTATGCCTCTGCAGCTTCCTGGAGAGCCAGTACAGCATGACTCTGGAAACGCAAATCAGTCTGCAAAATGATGTAAATATCGTCAATGAAATGAAAATACGATCATCACCAACGAATTGACTCAAAAGACTCGAACCATTTTATACCTTGAAATCCTGGGCAATTTCACGAACAAGCCTCTGGAAAGGCAATTTCCTGATAAGAAGCTCCGTACTCTTCTGGTACTTACGAATTTCACTGCGTAGATATAATAATAAAGGTCAATACTCATGAGATAAAGCATCACAACCAAGAGAAAATAAAAGTAAACAAAAATTGAAAGAATACCGAAGTGCAACAGTTCCAGGACGGTATCTGTGAGGCTTCTTCACACCACCGGTGGTGGGAGCAGATTTTCGGGCAGCCTAAATACAGCAGAGATAGATTATAAGTTGAAAGAACAGAGGAAAGTTAATATTATGTAAACCTAATAGATTACGTATGGGCCATAAAATGCAACCTTTGTAGCAAGTTGCTTCCTAGGAGCCTTTCCTCCAGTTGACTTACGGGCAGTTTGCTTTGTACGGGCCATCTCTGCATAGATACGGAATATTTTCAGAAGACAAAGGGAAAACCCATTCTACATTTTCTTACTAACCAAACAAAGACAGGGAGATAACAGATCTTAGCCAATTCCGAGACTAACATGAAAAGTAAAACATAAGCCCTCATTATTAAGCAAGAATTTTTAAACCCTGATATAATGAAATCAGAATTAAGAGGGCAAATAATCAAAAGTCAAACTCCTAAGCGATATATGGACCCTATAAAATCAACATACTTACAATTTCAAGGTATCCTAACTTACCCGAAAATTACCACGAAAAACAAGCATCAAACATAAGAATCGAAAATTAAAAAAAATATAAATAAATAATAACTAATTGAGGCAGGTAGAGAAAAGAACGAACCTTCAGATTTGATAAAAGAACAATATTCTCTGCTTTGTTCAAAGGCAAGAATTGTTCAGCGGTTACTAGGTATTTATAGAAGGGTGGGGGATTTGTTAATTAATGTTGATCGGACGGATAAGATTTAGTATCCGTGTGTTTGTTGGGTACGAAATCTGACGGTGGTAACGGTCACGAGTTGTGTTTTCTGAGAGGAAAGTGACGGTTTGGATTAGATTATAGGGGGAAGACACGGATCGTGAGTATTTGATTACTTGATTCTAATTGGTGGTTGAGGAAAACGTATTTTAGGTGTGAATGTTTTGGGCTTGGGAAATTAAGTTGCTGGATTCTTCGGCTTCACCACATAAGGTCTGGCCCATGAATAGAATGCCTGCACAATTTTAATTTAATTTTTAAATTCAATGCTGATTGAAAGATTTCCTGTAATATTAATTTATTGAATTATAAATACAAAAATATTAAATTTTTTTTTAAAATATTAAAAAATATCTTAAGTTAACTATAATTTAAAATATATATAAAATATATCCACTAAAAACTAACTAGTATTAAATTTGCTTTAATCTCATCTTGGTCATTCTTCTTTTATTTTTCTAACATTAACTAGTGTATAAGTTTAAAGCCTGGCTTATTGATAAGGGTGTGTCCATTTCATTAATAAAACTGAGGTTTGATTACATCCCCTCAGTCTTTTTCTTGCATTTGGTTTTTCTTCTAACCGTATGATGACCGATATGTGTCATCATCGGATTAAAAAGATTAAATTTATTAAATTAAATTAATATAATGTGTAAATATTAACCCAGATGTATAAATTATTTATTATGACCCGGAGCAGTTATGCCAACTCAACAAATCCATCAATTATTGACAAGTCAACAACAAAGTGTAAGGAAAAATACACATGAAAAAAGGGCATTCCAGGACCTTATTTGTTTACTGTAGCTAGCTATAAATTGTAGTATAAAATAGAAGGAATGACATTAAATATTGTTACAATCTATCATCCCTTCTCCCTTTCTAATTTTCTCTTCTAGTATTCTCTTTTATTTCTTCTCTATCGTTGTAATTTTGTTGTTCTTCTCTATTTCAATTCATATCAGTGAGTTTTTAAGTTCATAACATTTGGTGCTTTCGTTGAGAGACGATGACAACAAAAACATAGTTGATTTAACGATTGTAGAAATCTAGTTCGCGACATGAACATTTACTGATCTCACTTTAATCGAGCTTCAAGGAGCATAAACGAACAACTGAGGTGAATTAAAGGACCTTACAGGATGTGGCCAACCAACTCGTAGTATTGACTGCCCATATGAGTTTAATCAATAAATCACACAGCGATGCTATCGAATCAAGAGAACCCAAGTTTAATTGAGGAAAGACAAGAATTATAAATGAGCTATATAATGCGTTTCTTTCTTCTCCTAAGCCAAAGTACGTATAGCTTCAATTCTTTGTATGGAAAGACCTCGAAGAATGGATTGCCTCATCCCATGATTTCTTCGAATTCTATGAGACAGAGGATCATCATTGGGTAATCATGATGTCTTTTTGGATGAAAGGGGAAGCCAATAAATGGTTCTAGTTGATGCAACAATGGCGACAATTAGACGAATGAGACAATTTCATTGATATAATTCGAAAGCAATTTGTTTTCTTAGAAACAATTACGAGATAATCTCTTTCATCACCACCGATTATTTTCTACTACAAGCTCAACGTAGTTGATGTAGATGTTCAAGCCTCGCTGAAATTGAGAGATCGGAGGAATTTGTTACGAATCAAAACAACTTAAACATAAAGACCCCTAAGAATTCGACGAATTGTCACCACCAAAAGAAAAATGACATTAAAGACCAAGCAAGTATACACTTAGTGAAATTGGTCACTTAAACATGAAGTTGACATTTCATGTTTAGCCGAAATTGGAAATTTTAGTGACTAAATTGTAGTTTTCAAAAAATTTGCAAGGGCAAAGGTGGAAAGTAGATTTTTATTTGTTCATCTTTGACTTTGAAGATGATATAGATAAGATGGTGTCATGGATGATGTTATAGCAATGGCAAAGTGGAAATTATCATATTTTAGTAAGGTTAAAATGGTAATTTCAAATTAAATGAATTTTCAATTCATTTATATTAAATTAAGACAAGCATATATTGTAATTAGGAAGAGAAATCAAGAATTTTCAACCCCTCTTCTTGCTCAATTCGTGCACCCCCATGGCTAGGTAAGGAGAAATTTTGATTTTGATTTTTAAGCTTATTCGATTGATTTTTGGATTTAGCTATTAGAGAGAGAATTAATCCTATTGAAATTCTCTATCATTTGGTATAAAAATTACATAGAAATCATGCTTATATGATGAGATTGGAGATTAGGGTTTATAAAGGACATGCTTGATTTTGAAGAGTTGATGAAAGATTAGTATGTTATTGATGTTGTAGATTAATTCTAAAGCATGTGTGATGATTAAAATTATGAGTAGAAGTCTATATTATGTTCAGTAATGACCTAGGGTTTTTGGAAGTTTGTGATTTGGTTAAATTATATCAGGGTTTTAATTGTAGAAGCCTTGAAATGTTGATTATAGATGAAATCCATGCTTGAATCAAGTGAAAATCAAGAACCATAAACCCTAGAATATTCTACATCAAGGAAATAATTGGGGGGAAATAATGAAAATTTTCCCTAGGCTTGGAAATGATATTTTCAAGGTTCTACAAGCTTTAAAAAGTTATTTTGACCAATTTGTAGTTTTGTGAAAGTTGGGGAACCTATTTGGCAATTTTAAAAAGTTATAGAGATAATGTGTAATTGTTCACTAGATGTTGTACTAAGCCGGAAATTAATGTTAGAGTGTTGAATTTGATGCTAGAATGTGAACTTGGACTATTTTGGGAAGTTGGCAAAGTTTGAGTACTAAATGGCAAAGATTGAGAAAATTAGAGACTTAAGTGGTAATAGTGAAATTGTTGAGGTATTAGGCTGGAAATTAGACGCTGGAAATTTAATTAAATTGTTTGAGACTTGAATTGAAGTTAAAGGGCTATTTAAAATAAAATGGAAAAGTTGAGATGAATTCTAAAAAAATTAATAAATGTTAGTTAATATGTGAAGTTGAAAATGTTATGTGAAGTTTGGGTGAATTTGGATAAAAGGGGCTTGAATGGTCAACCTGAAGTGTTAAAGTCATCATTTATGTTGTGACATGGAAATAGTATTTTTTAGGATTGATGAAACTCAATTGAACAACCGAATAATTTCCAAGAAGGGTGAATTGTCCAATTGAAATTTTTTGGGTATGGAGGGAAAAGGATAGGAAAATTTGCACAATGATTTATAGTGATTCGACTTCTAAATCAAGTCTACATCCACTACCTTAGCTCCACACTAAAATTTTCTAACAAATTCACTAATTTATTCTTTTTTTTCTAGGCTCAAGAGTAACATTTACAAAACCCTTAGTTTTTCAATGGATAAACTAAAACCACTCCCCTTTTACAAATATTAAAAGATGTAAACAAGAAAATCTCACAAAAGTAGGTGTTTACAAGAATTAAGCTCGTAAGAAAAACAATTGAAAGATCTGCAATAAGCTCAAATACACTTATGTATAAGAGAAGGAAATATAAAGAATGAAAGAGCTTTTCTTTTGATCTCTTTTGCTTGGATAGATGTTTTTCTTTCTTCAAGTGTCCTCAACTTGTTTTTATATGTTGGAATGAGTTTTTGGCCATTTCTAGTCATTGGGGATGTTTTGGAGCCGTTGGGGATTAATTTTTTGCAAAATAAAATTACCCAGAACAGGGAGTATCGATACTCCTTTAATGAGTATCAGTACTACCTTTATAATATTTAAATAAACTAGCCGTTGAAGATCATTGGGCTTGACCAATATCGATACTATGCTTCATGGTATCAATACCACTGTGTAAAGTAGTATCAATACCTCTTGAGTATCGATACCTATTTTGCATTATGGAATTTGAGCAATTTGGAAAACAATTGTAGTATCAACACTACCTAGAGAGTATTAATATTTCTATTACCTTTGGTATAGGTATCACATGAATAGTATCAGTAATGTTCATGTAGTATCGATGCTATAAGAATAGTATTGGTACTACGTACCCAAAAAACTATTTCTTGCTCAAATTCTAGTTTAATAGACTTTGAATTATTTTTGAAAACTTTGAACAAATTCAATCAAGTTCAAAAACATTTTGTCTTAATTTGTTATATCAAAATATTATAAAATATGGTTCAACAATCTCCCATTTTTTGATATAACAAAACATTTGAAAAATTGTTTTGGCAAAACTTCCCCTTAATAAAATACTTCATGAAAAAGATAAATATTTGGAAAATATTAAAGCTCCCTCTTTTTCATTGAGAAATTTAAATTTTCAAACCTATACTTCTCCCCCTTTTTGTTATATAAAAATAATTCAAATTTAATGGTTCAAAACAACAATGGAAAGTAAGTAAGAATTTTAGCATAAAATCATTTGAAAAATCAAAGCTCCCCCTCAATAAATGCATTCGAAACAAAAATTTGAATTTAAAAGCTTGACACTTAAAAGACATTGAATTTCAACAAAGATGAACAAACATGTTAGTAGCACATGAAATTCAATATATCCAAGTCTATCTACTTTATGCAATATCATGAATAAGACATTATAAATAATATGCATAAAGCATGTAAAAAATGTTATGCATTCAATATTGACATCAATTGTTAGAGAGATATCATTGGCAATAAAATCACATACATAAACATTTAAATTAAGGTCAAAAATAAAAATTTATGAAAACAAAACATTAAAACCAATTTTGACCAAAATTCATTATGATGAACAAACATTTATGAAAAATCATTAAAACTTTAAAAATGTCCATCATAACATATTTTTAACATACATGAGATAAAAAACATAAAATCGTTTAAAATCAAAACTCATGCATGAATAAAGCAAATAGGCAACCAAATATCCAAAAATTAATAACATTAAGCTTGGAGGTTACCCATCCTTCTTTTGAGTAGCTAGAGCATTCAAATAACTTGGCATTTCACTTCTCCAACACACCTACA